TATAAATAATTCTTGTAAATTTTATGCATTTGATTATTTAGTGAATACGAACAAAATTTATAAATTCATAATTTGTTAAATAATTTAAATACTCCAAGCATTTTTTGATAATTATACATATAATATTATATATATATATAATTATATATATATTATAATAAGTATTTTGATAATTTTTCTAATTTTATTGGTAAAATAAAAAATACATACATATAACTGTTCAAAAATTATTTATTTTATTGTTATTTAAAACTCAAAATTAAATTAATTTACGGAAAACAATTATAAGTCAATTTAATGATTTTAATATATACATTTTAAATCAAGATATCTTTCATTTTCTACTTCTTGATCTTTAGTTATTTCGAAGTCCGAACTAAAATTCATGAATGTCTCGAATACCTTAAATTTATGTTCACTTATAAATACTTTCATTAAATACTCTAGAAAAACATTAAGCCTTAGGAAGTTATCATTTAAACCATCGATACTGGAGATATTTTGAAACATTTTTATTTTAAATTGTGTTACTTTGCTTAGTTGAACGTATGAACTAAGTTTTTTAGTTATGTTAATTGAATCCCTGTTATATTTTTTATTATTAACTTCTATTGGTAATATTTCAAATGACTTAACAACAAAGGCTTTTTGTATTTTATTTTCAATATTTGATATGATATTAGAACTTATGTCATCATAGGTTTCATTTGAATTACTTGGTTTATTTTTGAATAATGCTGAGATGCTTTTAAAGTCTTCGAGATCAGAAAACAACATCTTATGAAATATATAAAAATTTTGATGAAAGAAATCCCACATTTTATTATTATACTCTATAACAATTTCTTCATTCTCGTTTATTAAATACATTTGATGCTTTCTAATTAAATGTAAAGTTACGACTCGAAATATATTAAAGATTTTATTATGATAAACTTTAATTTTTGAAATCCATTCATCAAACCAATAATAATTCTTTGCAGCTAGATATGCAATATTTAAATCTTTAATAATATTTATGTAATTTTCCTCACTTTGTTCCCCGAAATCTTCTATTATAGTTTTCAAAATATTAGTATTTTGAATAATTTCGTAAAAATAAATTTTTTTGAGAGAAACCCAATTTTCTGCTTCTTCACCGTGAAGTAAAATATTATTAATATTATTTCTATGTACCATTATCGAAATGACGTGTCCTATCCTTAAAATCCTGTCTTCATCATCTAGTTTATATTTTTCTTCTTCAAATTTATCTGTTAAGTCGTATTTATTGTTTTTCCGACAATCATGTTTTGCATATGACGATAATAAATTGTTTATATGTCTTAAAGTTTTAATAACATATGATTTTACCAATAAATAATCGTGGAGAGTCATTTTTTTTATGTAAATTACAAACATGTACATATACCAAAAAGGCTTTAAATGTTTAGTTAGATCTAACTTTATTAATACAGATAGCATTTTTTTAACAATAAATTCATTCAACAATAAATAATCGTATTTATTTTTATTCATATAAAATTCAATGTTTAATATATATTCAAGATGGCTCGTGTATTGTAAAAGATTATATAAATTACTGCAATAAAGGTCGTAGTACATAATTTGTGGTTTAGTGAACAATATAAATGATTTTGGTTTTTCTTCCTTAATTATCATACCTTTCAATTCATCTAAATTCGTTTCAAATATTAGAGAGATGGGTTCATAAGAAAATCCTGTATCAAGTTTCAGTGCTACTTTAAGTTCTTCTGTATCATCAAAAATCTTCGATTTCGGTTTTGTTTTTTGTGACGATGTCTCTTTAAACCAACTACACGTCATAAATTGTATATTACAAAGTATCCCAAAGAAGATTGTAAACACACAATATTGATTAAAAATCATTATTAATATCTCAATTATTTAAGAATAGTAATGTATATCTTATCAAGAAGAGTACTTTTTTCCAACTACAAGTATAAAAAATTTTAGATATTTAATATATGATCGTATTTTGTATAAACATTTATTATAATGAATTTTCTATTGAAAAAAAATGTAAACAATTTAATAGTGATTTATTGTCACTATATTAATATAAATAGAATTTTAGGTTTAATATTCAAAAATAGAAATATTAATCATTCTATATAAAATTGAGTAAAATCAATTTGACATGATTTTTTTTTTAAATAAACGAATAATATTCAGAAAACACTAAATTTAAAAATAATAACCACGTCATAGTATCTAATGTCTTTTTAAAATTAAATATTAATATATAATAAGACGTCATTTTTTTATGTATTTTTTAATAAAATTCCTATCGTTCAAGGTTAAAACATAATATACGACATTACTTTAAAACTATAGTAAATTTTTGAAAAATACATATCCGATCTTAATTATAGTTATACTTTGCCATAATTCACTTCGTTAAGTATCAACAACATTTTTGAAATATTAGATATATAAAAATGGAATATTAATATTATTATCGACTCTTTAAAATGTTTTAAAATAATAATGCTAAAAAATAGTTATTTCGAAAATTTGAAAAAATGTATTTGTATATTTTTGTTTATTAGTGATAAATAATTTAAAATATACTCTAAATGTATATTATGCATTGTCTAATATGAAGAATTGTAAATAATACCCATACAAAAATACTGTGTTTAAACATTTTAAAAGTGATTAATTTTCACATTATTGATTTTAACAGAATTTTCGACTTAGTATTCAAAAAAAATAATAATAATGAATCATTCGATACAAAACTTAGTAAAATTATATTGTCTAATATGAGGTTTAGCCAAAAATACATACATATAACTGTTCAAAAATTATTTATTTTATTGTTATTTAAAACTCAAAATTAAATTAATTTATGGAAAACAATTATAAGTCAATTTAATGATTTTAATATATACATTCTAAATCAAGATATCTTTCATTTTCTACTTCTTGATCTTTAGTTATTTCGAAGTCCGAACTAAAATTCATGAATGTCTGGAATACCTTAAATTTATGTTCACTTATAAATACTTTCATTAAATACTCTAGAAAAACATTAAGCCTTAAGAAGTTATCATTCAAACCATTGATACTTGAGATATTTTGAAACCTTTTTATTTTAAATTTTGTTACTTTGCTTAGTTGAACGTATGAACTAAGTTTTTTAGTTATCTTAATTGAATTTTCGTTATATATTTCGTTATCTACTTCTATTGGTAATATTTCAAATGACTTAACAACAAAGGCTTTTTGTATTTTATTTTCAATATTTGATATGATATTAGAATTTATGACATCATAGGTTTCATTTGAATTACTTGGTTTATTTTTGAATAATGTTGAGATGCTTTTAAAGTCTGCGATATCAGAAAACAACATTTTATGAAATATATAAAAATTGTGAAAAAAGAAATCCCACATTTTATTATTATACTCTATAACAACTTCATCATTCTCATTTATTAAATACATTTGATGCTTTCTAATTAAATGTAAAATTACGACTCGAAATATGTTAAAGATTTTATTATGATAAACTTTAATTTTTGAAATCCATTCATCAAACCAATAATAATTCTTTGCAGCTTGATATGCAATATTTAAATCTTTAATAATATCTATGTAATTTTCCTCACTTTGTTCCCCGAAATCCTCTATTATAGTTTTCAAAATATCTGTATTTTGAATAATTTCGTAAAAATAAATTTTTTTGAGAGAAACCCAATTTTCTGCTTCTTCACCGTGAAGTAAAATATTATTAATATTATTTCTATGTATCATTATCGAAATGACGTCTTCTATCTTTAAAATACTGTCTTTAATATCTAGTTTACATTTTTCTTCGTTAAATTGATCTGTTAAGTCGTATTTATTGTTTTTCCGACAATCCCGTATTGCATATGACGATAAATACTTGTTTATACGTTTTAAAGTTTCAATAGCATATGATTTTACCAATAAATAATCGTCGAGAGTCATTTTTTTTATGTAAATTGCAAACATGTACATATACCAAAAGGGCTTTAAATATATAGTTAGATCTAACTTTAGTAATACAGATAGCATTTTTTTAATAATAATTTCATTCAACAATAAATAATCGTATTTATTTTTATTCATATAAAATTCATTGTTTAATAAATATTCAAGATGGCTCGTGTATTGTAAAAGATTATATAAATTACTGCAATAAAGGTCGTAGTACATAATTTCTGGTTTAGTGAACAATATAAATGATTTTGGTTTTTCTTCCTTAATTATCATACCTTTCAATTCATCTAAATTCGTTTCAAATATTAGAGAGATGGGTTCATAAGAAAATCCTGTATCAAGTTTCAGTGCTACTTTAAGTTCTTCTGTATCATCAAAAGTCTCCGGTTCCGATATTGTTTCTTGTGACGATGTCTCTTTAAACCAACTACACGTCATAAATTGTATATTACATAGTATCCCAAAGAAGATTGTAAACACACAATATTGATTAAAAATCATTATTAATATCTCAATTATTTAAGAATAGTAATGTATATCTTATCAAGAAGAGTACTTTTTTCCAACTACAAGTATAAAAAATTTTAGATTTTTAATTTATGATTGTATTTTGTATAAACATTTATTATAATGAATTTTCTATTTAAAAAAATGTAAACAATTTTAAAGTGATTTATTGACACTATATTAATACAAACAGAATTTTAGGTTTAATATTCAAAAATATAAAAATTAAACATTTTATATAAATTGAATAAAATCAATTTGACATGATTTATTTTAAAGAATAATCAAATAATATTCATAAAACACTAAATTTAAAAATAATAACCACGTCATAGTATCTAATGTCTTTTTAAAATTAAATATTAATATATAATAAGACGTCATTTTTTTATGTATTTTTTAATAAAATTCCTATCGTTCAAGGTTAAAACATAATATACGACATTACTTTAAAACTATATTAAATTTTCGAAAAATACATATTCGTTCTTAATTATAGTTATACTTTGCGATAATTCACTTTGTTAAGTATTAACATTTTTGAAATATTAGATATATAAAAATGGAATATTAATATTATTATCGACTCTTTAAAATGTTTTAAAATAATAATGCTAAAAAATAGTTATTTCGAAAATTGGAAAAAATGTATTTGTATATTTTTGTCTATTAGTGATAAATAATTTAAAATATACTCTAAATATATATTATGTATTGTCTAATATGAGGATTTGTAAATAAGACCCATACTTAAAATATCCCTAAAAAAATACTGTGTTTAAACCGTTTAAAAGTGATTAATTTTCACATTATTGATTTAAACAGAATTTTCGACTTAGTATTCAAAAAAAATAATAATTCGATACAAAATTGAATAAAATTATATTGTCTAATATGAGGTTCAGCCAATGATTTATAATAAAACTTAATTATTTTATGCATATACTTTTAGTATATTAACATTATTTGTTAGAAATAATTTACATATAATTAAAATGTATTAGAATTCCAATGAAACTGAAAGGTAAATTCTACAAGACTGTAGTGAGACCAGCTATGATGTATAGTTCAGAGTGTTGGGCGGTTGATAAGGAAGTAGAGCAGAAAATAAGTGTAGCAGAGATGAGAATGCTTAAATTGATGAGTAGAGTGACTAGAGAAGATAGGATAATAAACGAATTAAATTAATTAAATGTTTATAAATATTAATATTATTATCGACTCTTTAAAATATTTTACAAAAATAATGCTAAAATTTGGTTATTTCGAAAATTTGAAAAAATATATTTGGATATTTTTGTTTATTAGTGGTAAATAATTTAAAATATACTCTAAATTTATATTATGCATTGTCTAATATGAGGATTTGTAAATAATACCAATACAAAAATACTGTGTTTAAACAGTTTAAAAGTGATTAATTTTCACATTATTGATTTTAACAGAATTTTCGACTGAGTATTCAAAAAAAATAATAATTCGATACAAAATTGAATAAAATTATATTGTCTAATATGAGGTTCAGCCAATGATTTATAATAAAACTTAATTATTTTATGCATATACTTTTAGTATATTAACATTATTTGTTAGAAATAATTTACATATAATTAAAATGTATTAGAATTCCAATGAAACTGAAAGGTAAATTCTACAAGACTGTAGTGAGACCAGCTATGATGTATAGTTCAGAGTGTTGGGCGGTTGATAAGGAAGTAGAGCAGAAAATAAGTGTAGCAGAGATGAGAATGCTTAAATTGATGAGTAGAGTGACTAGAGAAGATAGGATAATAAACGAATTAAATTAATTAAATGTTTATAAATATTAATATTATTATCGACTCTTTAAAATATTTTACAAAAATAATGCTAAAATTTGGTTATTTCGAAAATTTGAAAAAATGTATTTGGATATTTTTGTTTATTAGTGGTAAATAATTTAAAATATACTCTAAATGTATATTATGCATTGTCTAATATGAAGAATTGTAAATAATACCAATACAAAAATACTGTGTTTAAACAGTTTAAAAGTGATTAATTTTCACATTATTGATTTTAACAGAATTTTTGACTTAGTATTAAAAAAAAATTATAATAATGAATCATTCGATATAAAATTTAGTAAAATTATATAGTCTAATATGAGGTTTAGCCAATAATTTATAATACGACTTAATTTTATGCGTATACCTTTATTATATTAACACAATTTTTTAGAAAAAATTTTATACATATGATTAAAATGTATTAGAATTCCAATGAGGCTGAAATTTAAATTCTACAAGACTGTAGTGGTCTCACTACAGCTATGTATGGTTCAGAGTGTTGGGCGGTTGATAAGGAAGTAGAGCAGAAAATAAGTATAGCAGAGATGAGAATGCTTAAATTGATGAGTAGAGTGACTAGAGAAGATAGGATAATAAACGAATCAAAAAAAAATTAAATCTTCAATTATTTAATTTTTGTTCTTGGATGTGACACCCGAAACTCCTTTTGTAATAACGTAGTTATTTTCTACTTGTGTATTAGAACTTGACTACCGATCAAATTTTCTTCCCTCTCAAAAACAAAAAAATAACATAAAGAATTATTTTTTTAAATATATAAAAGGTATATTAGGCTTGAATATTTTAAGGCTCTTATATATTTAGAGCAGAGTATACGCATACCAGCTATGGTTTCTACTATCCGCGCTACATACCCACTCATTGTATTAAAATGCTCGTTACTCAATGAATTCGTGTTTTAATATTGTAAAAGTGCCTGTACACTATAGATTTTTTATCGCAGAATTACTCGAGCTAGAGCTATCTACAATTAGTCAAGACGTGTACATATCAACTGGAGCGCTCTAACGGTTGACTCTCTAGGGTCAAGGTAGACTCAATAGAGTAAACTAAAATCTACAATGTACACGGAAATAGACACTATAGATCTATTTGTTCAGTTGATTAGATCAAGTAGAGATCGTGGTATTTGAATTAATTATCACAGTGTTTTCAATACATTTTCTTTTGGATTATTTGTACAATGGCCGATGTTGTGTGGGACAAACAAAAAACCTATCAACTAATTAAGATTCTGGTAATCATTTTTGGACATTCGTATGAGATTTTCATACGAAGTGGTGGTATCTTCTACACTCATTTCTTTCAGTAACTTTGCGTGCACTCCTTCGTTATCTCTTTTTGATATCCAATTTCTCACCCACAACCTCTTCGGTTTTTTAATCAAACTACACACTATAATTGCAGCTGCAACGCGTTTAGGGTCCGACATTTTTCGTACGAAGAATCGTCACCAACTAGCCCAAAAGCCCTCTCAATTACAACTATCTAGTCTATCAAGTCTGACTACTGTACATGAGCCGTAGACTTATCTAGGTAGATTTGATCTATGCGCTGTCTACGACTACTTCATTTAGAGCACATTTCATCATAGTGTAAACACACTTCTAGTGCAGTCTAGCTAGACCGATCTAACTGTAGCTGTATTTATCTCTACAGGGTACAGGCACCTTAATAGATTTTTTGAAACATTTTTTAAGAAAAATGCTAATAAATGGCTTTTAGAAATTTTGAAATATAAAAAAAATTTATTTTTAGTATTTGCTTATTAGTGATAAATAATAAAAAAATATACTTTGAATGTAAATTTTGAATTATTTAAAAAAAAATTCAACAAAATGATACTTGAATCAAATATTTCGAATACAATAATTATCATGTCATACTCAAGTCAACAATCTATACATTAAAAAATTAACCAATGCTGGAAAAATTACTTAACGATTTTTAGGTGCTCCGTCATAGTCTGAGGTGGAGATTAGCTAGAAGCCTAGTAAAAAATAATAAATTAGAAATAATTTTTTTCATTTGCTTATATGAAAATCAATGGCTTATTAATTTTGAAAATGATTTTTATTTGGCCACTATTAATCTGTATAAACATTTTAGATGTTTATTTTATATCGACATTGTACGTACAATTAATATGTCAATAACTTAGTTGATTGAGGCAACAACCAGATTAGTCTATTTTTTTTATTTTTCAGGAAAATTATTTTTATTATAAATTTTTTATAAAAGCAGTGGGAAAATGTTTTTTCGAAATTAAATATTTTCACAAATAATAGTAATAAAGAACTAGTTTTGTACAGAATTACGCATAAAAATCATATTTATGAAACATAAAAAAAAAATATTTTCTGAAAAAGTTATACTTAAATGGTTGTTGAGCCACATATCAGTACGCATAATTTAATTATATTTACTGCATTACATTGTAAATAACCTATTAGAACAAATTTTTTTACGATTAATGGTTACATATGCTCAAATAAATTATTTTAAAATAAAATTTTTTTATATTAATACTTGGGCAGAATATTTTTGCAAATATCTTTACTACGCGTTATTATTTTAGCTTCGATGCAAGAATAACATTCCTTATTTCATAATAAGGATTTTTTTGTGTCTTTCATTCATTTTACTCAACTCTCACTTGATCAATTTTTTTTAATAAGACATCATATGACCACAATGAGTGTTTAGCTAAAGATATTACCCTCGAACTTGAAAATGATTTCCCTTTTATCAAATAAAAATTTGCTCAACCAATTTTCTCCATATAAACAACTAAAATCATTAATTTCTAATTTTTTTTAATTATATATTGTCAACTTAGGTTTGATATGAATAACAAGATTCAACTACAAAATTGAATAATTTTACTTTGTTATTTATTAATTTTTTAACTCTATTTGTGTGTTCTACTATCATTCTATGATATTGCCAATTTTTTGGTAAACTGTTACTGTATAAATAATTTCCCCAAAAATGTTTGGTTTTTACAATTATAATAATTTTTAAAATACGCTTAATTAAGTATATTTTTCAACTTTTTTATTGTTTTTTTTTAGTTTTTATGCGAAATATGTATTTACTCATTTTTTACAAATTAGTAATTAACTAAAAAATGAGATGATTGAATAAATCTAATTTCAGATTTGAAATTAGCGCAAAAATCGAAAAGTATATTATATTAAAAGTAAATAAATTCATAAATAACAAACAAGTTTTTTTTTAAGTATTCCATCAAACCCTTCAATTTTTATACACTTTTGCCATAAAAGTTATAACTACTTCATTATTGTTTATAATTTCTCCGTAA